CAACTGATATATTCGTGATGTACTAGTACCATTCTTAATGTATAAACTCGCAAAGGTCGAAATAGAAGTGCCTGAAGCATGAAGAACGGTAGACTAGACCGCGTTGGTTCGAACATCATTAAGCGCTACAAGAATCATTTGGGCCTTTTGTCGAGTAGGTGATGCTGTTGAACTGAGGTATTGATTCAACTGCTTGAAGGTGGATTGCGGGGCGCGCAACTGTTCGATGGATAAACCTGACGGCAAACGCTGCTTGATAAGAGGACATGAGGCGCAATATTGCATGGCAGAGAGAAAAAAAGGCTAGTGGCCAGACGGGCAACTGTCCATCCATAAAGAATATGTTGAATAGACTACGGGCCAAAACCAATTACGGCCAATATGTTTTGGGTTAATCTCCATTAGTGGGTAACGTATTTGTTTACTAATCATAGAGTCGAGGTTCGAATCCTAGCTTGGACATAGTTCGTTGCGTGCTGATGGGACGCTTAACGGTGATGTTTAAGTTAATCGTAATAAATGCCGGAAGGTATTCCACCTGCTATAGATTATTATGGTGTAATGGGAGGTTGAAATAAGTTTGATTCCCAAATCAACTACTGTAACGTCGAAGCAAGTCAATCGGCTGACAATTTAGTTTGTTTTTTAGCTATTTCGTCACATAAATCATTAGAAAAACGATTTTTTCTAGGCAACTGCTCTAGCACGACTAGAATTGGCGCAGACAGAAACTTCAAAAAGTCAAACCGTAACTAACATCGCTGATAAGTAGAAAAAAAAAAACCACTGATTAAAAGAAGCGAATTTAGGCTATCCCATGTTTACTATAAGATCAGACACTACGCGACCACTTCATCGGTATCAGATATACGTACTGCATAAGACTAGTGAATCGTCCGTTTATACAGCTAAAAGATAGGCAAGTTTAGGAAATGCAGTCAGAGCCCTTAATATCGAATAAAACGGACGTTAAGACTTTATTTACAGATACATTTCCTGTTATTTTGCGGGTGGCTCACGCTGGCCAAGGGATCCGTGAAAAACAACACACCACTGATTCCCGCCCAGCCAACAAACTATCCTTCTGCATATTAAAGAGGTATATTTTAATAATTTGACTATCTGAGTTGCTGAGTTAGAACGCAATAAAGTCTACTGAGACAGTGTTATAAATACCCTGATCGTCACTTTTAAATGAAATCTGTCACAGTTACGATGAATTTATTGAGTCATTAGCCTTTTATAAATATTTGCTAAAATTCGGTTGAACTTTTGTTTGGGATATGAGATGATAAGTTTATATAACAATTATATTCCAACAAGCAACAATGCTTCTAACTTATGCTTTAAATTATAACCTTAAAAAAGTTGATTCGCTGTACCTACACGGTTCTCACGCTGTTTTCCTCAACGAGAAATAACTTGATCTAGAGCATATTATACGTTTTACTCGCAAATCTATCGTAATCTTCTATCTAAATCTGTGTATCAGTCAAGTCGTTCGGTCTGAAATGTGACATACATTTATCTCGTATCTTAAGATGGCGCTACTTTACAGTCGTGTAACATTTTTTTTTCTCGTGCGAGAGATACGGGCACTTTTTTGAAACCAGTAACGGTTCACTCGGCTATTGTGTCCCGGGCTTTTAGGAGCGACCGGTAGAATAGAACGAGATGGCTGATGCTGTATGCTATTGTTTGCGTCAGGGTGGTCAACAATTGACACTATTTAAAATTATCAGCAGAACAGGTGGCCACATATAGCTCAATACACGCGGAATGATATTAATTCACTGTACATCGTGAGGCCTGCTGTCTCTTCTCATCTATTATACCGTACAAACAAACCATCAAACATCTTTGTCAAATCTAAATAGGCGCCTTAAATTATTGGACTGGTTTTAGATGCATTCTGAAAAGACCTGCGCGAAAAATGGAGCCCATGGGCAAAATTTAATAGTTTTTTTCCTATAGAAGAAAGCGTTTCCTTTTCCTATAGGGGGCAATGTCAATTTGGTTGGTCGAAGATCAAGTTCTCTCTAATCTTCCATGTTTGGCAATTACGTCACACTAACGTGTACAAGGTGGCCACTAACATCACCCGCGCTCACCTATCATCGGCCATACATCTGTACATCGACTGTGTTGTGCACAAATTGTGTTGCATGAATAAGTATATTGAACGTACGTTTAAGGGCAAAAGAGACGCGGGGTGGAATTCGTTCTGCTAATTGTATGTCCGTTTTGGAATAATCGTATTGGGCTGATTATTAAGTTCATCCTGGATAGAACTACGTGTGAAATAAAGTTGATCGCACGAGTCCTTTCGCCCTATCAGGTTAACTTTCTCTCTACAAAAGACAATATTAATTTGGAGAACTAACCATTTTCTTGCAACTTTATGCGGACGTCTTCTGCCTAAAGTAGTTCATAAATGACGGCTTATCAGTTCATTTTTTGTTTTTCCTAGAGGGAAGAAAGCGGAATACTAATCTAGTTCATCTGTGACATGATAAAATCATATTTTTTTGTTTGATAAGTATTTTTTCCGGGTAGTAGAACTACCTGAAATAAAAAAAAAGAAAAAAAAAACACGATAAATACGATAAGGTATTAAGTTTTCAATATTGCTTCAATTGGAAAGTGAAAATAACCGTAGAAGAGCACGGGATCTGACTCATGTAAACCCTCAGACCAGCGCTGCGTACATGGTTAAAAGTTATTTTTACATACATAAGTTGAAAAAATATCTATAGTTTCACACTGGCAATTTTGAGATCGAGCTTAGTAATCTTCAAGCAGCAGCAGCAGCAACAAACTAATCAATCCCTACTCGAGTAGGGTAATAAAACAACTGCATTCAACGGACGAGGTTGTTGGTCCCGCATAAGAGACTGACTAAACAAAAAAAAAAAAAATATATATATATATATAATCATGTAACGAAATAACAGATGCAAACGGTATTTTGTGTACTTGTAGGTCTAGAATAGAATGACAGCTTATATTAGGTTTGGGTGCAATATGAATCAACCCTAGAAACAGGATGGTGAGATAACTATAGAGTAAGCGCAGTTAGGTCATTTAGGGGATTGGTTCCAATGCTAACTGCAATGGGACAAATATAAAAAAAATAGAATTGCAGCCTTGAGATAACGAAACTGAAGCTTCGGAATTGCGTGCGAATTATACGACCGTATGGTTTGTTTAACTAACTGTAGCAGAAATTCAACGCTTCTTCTGCTGGGGTGTCCGTTAAACTACGAGATTCGTTGTTGCAGCATAATTGCATGATAATAAAATAATCATGCATAGCAAAATTGTAAGGGTTAATATCAACTAGATTTTGGTCAGCTTTTGTTTAACAAATGTTTCTTCTACAAAAATGGAAGTTAAATGTTCACATGAATGTCTGTGTGTGGAGCGTATTTCTGCGCACCAATCGAAAGCCCCCCCCCGGTCGGGCTTAGTCGAAACGCTTTGAACACCTTCCTTTTGTAAATTTTAGTTTTTAAGTCGAAAACGCTGTTTGGAGAGTAAAAAGTAGATAGGTGTTTCATGTAGGGAAGATTTTTGACCGATCTTGATAAGCTGAGTGTCCCTATACCCATACCTAAGATGAAGAGTTCTTATACCTAAAATCGATATTCCAACAAAAGCCCGAACGTAACATCCGTTTTCTTCCTGTGGCAATGAGGTGAGAATCTATCACCAGATAATTTCGAGCAACTTTCTCACATATATTAGAAAATACAATTAGAGATTCGAAACGGTGGATGTGGCGGACATTTTAATAACACATTTCTTCGAAAATTCGCTCTGAATTATTTTTTACAAGAAACGCCAAAATACCGAAAACATTTTCTTTGTGTAAAGTACTACGTTCTTGGTGGTCTCGTTAACGTCGATCAACAGAGCTTACTAAAAACGTTTTTGTGTACCTAAAATAGATATTTCGGCATGAAAAAGACTAAAAACTTGCTTGGCTTATGTGCCACAGAGATGGAAATCTTTTGCATGGAGGTATATTTGGGGAGGCTCTTTTTTTAACACGATTCAAAAGTTCTCAATAATAAATTAAATTATGTCGTTATATCTGAATCTCAGATTTCGGGTCGAAAATGTCGTTTTAAGAGTAAACATTTCATAATGTTCAATGTAAGCGGGGCATTTTTTGTTAGCAATAAATTGATTTCGACGAACTAAATAAAAATATTATACGTATCGCAATACCTGAAGTGAATATTTTGCCGCGAAAAGGGCCAGAACAATGACTGGTCATATCGGTTGACCGATGTAACACTAAAATTAAAATGAATTCACACGTCGTTTTGGGTAGCTTTTTGAACGAATTTCTAATAAATATCAATTAGAAACCTGGGCTAGATGTAACCAAAGTCAAACTCGTTTATATTCGAGCAAACTGATCAAACAGCTGCGAAAAGGTACCGGGTCTAATAGATCCGGGATAGAAATTCTTATTGCTGTATACTATAGTTTTCATTTTAATCTGGGTGTAACATTAATATGGTGAAATTCATTACCGCAAGGCAAGAAAAGGGCAAGTCTCCAGGTGCGCTGAGTAATTTTCACTAACACAGACCTTAACCTCGTGCTGACACAAGAGGAAATGCTTCTGTCTTATTTATAATACCTCCGTATTCTGTAATCAAAAGCGATTCATCGATTGGGCTGCACTGGCCCGGACTGAACGCCCGGACCAGCAGGAGTTGTGCCGTCTAGCAAAATCATTGGAGCATTCCGCATCATCATTTCTATCGTTCTCATCATCAGCAGCCGCAGCACCGCCACCATCAGTATCATCGGATCAGTAGCACTGCTTTTGCTGTTGATAATAGCGTGTTGCGGCAACGAGGCAGCTCGTAGCAGTAATAGCGACTGTGAAGCAAAAACGCAGTCAGCATTGGTGGCAGACGTCTGCAGAAGCCGCGGTAGGAGTTGGGTAGGATGGTTGAACTGGTCGTGCTGGGTAGGCATAACAGCACATTTTACATTACCCAAATAGACACTTACACAGAGACACAAGCGAGCGCATACGTCAGGAGAACGGTGTTGACGTTGGAGTTAGTGGTGGTGCTGTGATCAATAAGTGGGTGCGAGGAGGTGTCAGGAGTTATTGTCAACAGCGGAAAAGGCTGTCAACGCTATTTTTCGTCGATCCAGTACCCGTGTCAAGTAAGTTTTCTGAATCTATCTGCTTCCTAGTGACAGCAAGCGAGTACGGATCGAGAGCTCTTGGCAAGAACGTGCTAGCAACTGATGGTCAACTCCAGTTCATTCAGCTCAGATGAGCATTTTACCGTTCTTAATGGGTAATACCTATCTAGCCTCGTGTGTTAGACCATTTACGGTGTGCCCCGTTTACCAGTACAGCACTGACTCCTTCATTCGTACTTGATAGTATTGACTGGCGACCAATCGTATGAATTTGTACTTCAAAGCTCGTTCGTCCATTCTTGTTGGATGACTTACTTCGTTTGCACTGTGTTCATGCCTACGTACACGTGAGCGTGCATTTGGACCGAAAGTGCATGAGCACACTGCCGCCGCTGCGGCTTTCAGACGTAAAAAACGTGTGGAGGGGCTAAGAGCCTGATTTTTTCCTCTGGGCGAGGGGCACTAGTTCTAAGAGAGTCAGGGCGGGTGGGGGCCTCACGAAGTGAACTAAAGTGAAGTGTATCTCTCGTGTGTACGCGAGCGTGTGTAAGTTCCCTAGTGGTTGTTTTGTTGGCCGCCCATCTACTTGTTGTTTCGATTGGCGGGTGGCGACGACTCTTCTCTTGTCCGTAGCCCATCGGACCTTTTTTTTCACGATGCACCACAACAAGGCGTCCCTACCTTTTGTGCTGTTAGGGTCAGGCTCTGGACGATATCCATTGGTCGACTAAGTCTGTGACTGTCTGTCCTTCTGTCCCATGTACCTTAGCGTGCCTAGCGTTCGCTCCTCATGATCAGACATCGTTGCTGGTGCTGCCGCAGCTTTACCTGATCTGCTCCTTTTTATCCGTTCCGGGTATGTATTCGACCATTCGCCCTGTTGTTGTTGTTGTTGTAGTGACTGTGGTGCTTACTGAACCACTCCGGCGTAGTCACTAAGCGGCTAACAGGCCAGGCTGGCAGGCGCCAACAGCAATGCTGTTGCTGCTATGTACAGCAAGTACCGAACGATCAGCGACAATGTACGGCGCGTCTGCCACTCACTCCGGCGGGTGGGCATCTATCTCATGTAGAAGTTAGGCGGCGCTCAGCCGACAAATATCAAGCAGCGACAGCAGCAGTACATCGCCGGACGAAGCACGAGGCAGCAGTCACTCCATCGTCAGACGGCAATCATAGCGGTAGTGACCACAGAGATCCCCCCGCAACCTAAATTAAGGTGCTAGAACCAGAAGTCAGCATCTCTAGCTGATAACCATGTTACCACAGAGAACTCCCTTATGTAGTGCTTTGCTATACATTCATAGAACGCCAATTGTGGTTTTATAGAATCGACGACTATAGCTGAAAAATGACGAAAAAGTCACTGGAGTGTTAACTGGCTGACTGAATGTTTTACGCCAAATGTGTATTTCACCCGTATTATTATACTATTTATTATTGTCATGACAGTTACTATTATTGCTCCTATTGATTCAAATAGATAAGCACCATATTGGCGGAAAACAACAAATCTATATATCCTTACTTGGCTATTAAATTTTCTCAGATTCCCTGTCAGTTTACTGAGTTGATGTTAGCATCTTTAAAATTACGTTGGCCTTTGTCATACCTTTTTACTCACAAAGAGTATAAAGCGGTATCGGTGTTCTGTTGTGTGCAACTGATAGTGGGCCGATATATGTGACGTTCTGTGGAAATTTCCATGCTTCTACTTGAAACCGCATTGTGCTACAAAAGATAAAATAATTTCGAAATATATTGTGAAGTGTGCATATGCGATTTCGCGGTGCATATGCTGCGTTTGAGGATGGACGGATACGATGCTCGACAGTTGTGACGGTCTTTATTGGATATCTAGCTATTCGACTCGATCTGTGTAAGCAAAAAGGCGTGCCAATTTGTGCGTCTAAACGTGTTGGAGAGTGAACGCTCTTAAGTGCAGTCTTCATTCGTCTGAAGTGATCTGCGCGATGTTTACTCCGACATCATGTCTGTCATTTACCTTGGGCCGGCGACGAAAGCCGGCCATCCAGAGAGCTCAAAAAGCAGCCCGTACGAGAACAAGCTCCGTTGTCATTTCAGAATATCAGCAGCAGCACCTGAAGGAAAAAAAGGACCTGGCGCGCCCGTTTGGCCAGGACAACGGGATGTCCCTTGATCAGTACCTGAAAAGCTTCCTCGAGACGCTCTGGTGGCAGGAAGCCAAGGTGACGGCTGGCGATGATGTCTTCCAGAGGGAATTTGACTCCTTACGCAGGCAAAGCACACCAGCTGGTGAGAAGAACGCTCAGGAAGCGCTCAAAAACGTCAACAGGCCTAAAAACCGTTACAAAGATATCGTACCCTTTGATTATGCCAGGGTGAGTATAGCGAAATTTGCCCCGAAAACGACAGATGATCATATAGGACAGCTTTACGATAACTGCTTAAAGCACCGTGTATAGGTCATTGCCCCTGCATAAGCACTAAAGTAAATGACATACATTGTAGGTATCGGTACAGGTGCTTGGAAAGGAAAACAGACTGACCCATAGATAACCAGCCGATTGCTTAAAGAATCCAATCTATCGGACAGTTTCCTGTCGTGCTATTTTAAGTGAATCGGATTTTGTTTATGTTTATAATGATGGCTAAATGCACGTATTGGCGTGAAGTTTGCGACTGCATCTCAAGAAACACACAGAGGCAATCGCAGTATGTAAAACAAATCGTAGCGAACGAAGATCGACTAGATGCGTGGTCGTGTCTGACATTATTCATATGTAGTGCCTACTGTTGACCTGCATAGGCGTGTGTGGATGCATATAAGTTTAAAGTTGCGAAATATTTTAAAGCCAGAAAAGATAAGTTGAGAATACTTCTAACCCTTCGAGAGTTTACTGCGTGATTATCAAAAACATCACATTTTGTTAAAGTCGCTAAAGACCTAAGCAAATGATCTACTACTTCATCAATTTGAAATGTATCCGATTGTATATAAATCATTTGCAGCTTAGATTTAATACGAGATTTGTATTTATACGGTTCGCGATTAACCTGTATCTTTGACACAACATGACTTTCTCTTGGCTTGATGCAGTGGTGATATAATGATGTGTCCGAATTTCATGCGTGTCCCATAAGAAACGACCTATGCGGTTAAATAAACCTTAATTTTAGATTTATCTGGTTTATCACATCATATACTGGTAATAACTATCGTACGTTGCGAATATTAACATTGACTGCACTTCCATATCACTAAAAACATTTTACAGAACATGAGTAAGGGCTTATTTTAAACCATTTCATACGTTGCCTGCTTGATCGGTCCCTAGGTTATTAGCTTTGTCCGAATTTGACTGCACATGTGTCATTAAGCATTGTCTTCTCTATTTCAACTACGGGCTTTGCCCTCACCTCACTACCTTTTTCTTCCATCAATTAGCATATGAAATCGTTCGTGACTTACATGCGGTCCACTCTCCTGTGCCGCTACGAATAAAATTCGTAATGACGTGAAGATTAATCATGTTTGACTCAGACGCTCGTTCCCAGATTGCACAAAGTCGTCGAAAAAACCATTGATTATGACCAGTAGATTTGGGCTGCCGAAAAATCAACCAACGCGAAAGCAGATAGATCCGAATAGTGTAGAAAATATTTGACGGCTTGGTTTTTTGTGTCGTTACGTTCGATTCATTTACTGATCCGACGGCATAAAGCATAAGGATGAAAAACAGAGAGACGGAGGTGTTATTTCGAGTCTTCAGCAATATATTTTCGTTAATTCATCAACCTCTTTTAGGCGATTCAATGACTCCTCAGCGCCAATACCATCATTACATCATAAAATATTTTTTTGTTACTCTGCAAACAAATGCAAAGTTTGCTCGACTTTTTTTATTATTGTTATTATTATTATTCTAGTTTAAGGGTAAAACGTAGGTCACTGTGAGAATTAGCCACGCCAAATACGTTCACTACGACACCTAGAAGAGTGGCAATGTATATGTGCACACTACGGATATTCACAATGAAGACATTCATTTCCTCATTTCTAAGCAACTGCAACGTTACCCAAAACGAGTTCGTTTTCCTACGTTTCATACGAAACCTATTAAAACTTCTCGTATACCAACCTCTGATACTGATAAATACGGATTAAAATAACCGATCTTTAAAAAAGTCAGTTCCTTATAATAATCAAACGTGTTATTTGGGTGTTAAGTTAAATAAGACAACGCTTATTAGGTTTAGTAGTAATCACAAAGTCAACTATTGTTCTATATGAGCAAGCATTACTGTACCGCAACCCAATATTACCCAATATTGATGAAGCCAGAACTTTTAAATAAGTTCTGGCTTCATCATTCTGGTTTTCCATAAAGATGTATGTTCAGCGATACCTCCATATAACAAATAGCTCTATTACTACTTTAAATAATGAATCAAGGCACTGCCGTCTATATTTCATCAATTAACCTAATATATAATATTTTTAATTATAGATGGCCTAACAGCGGACAGTATATTCGCTTATAGTATGTCGACTCGTTCGTTGTTCACACAGGGGGCTCAAAATATCATAGATGAACTCATTTCCCAGAACAAAAGTTCCATAAGCAGATTGATCAAATGCTCAATTTTTCTATCTGGTTCTGAACTATACGAAGGTCGTACTCTCACAATACCCGGGTGTACCCGGCAGCGATTACGTAAACGCATCTTTAATACGAGGAGCTTCGGGCTCCTCCAGGGCATATATTGCAGCCCAAGGACCACTGCCCCATACAGTCACTGACTTCTGGCGAATGATATGGGAATTCAACGTGAGCGTCATCGTCATGACCTGTAACGAAATCGAGGGAGATCGCTACAAGTGTGAAAAGTATTGGCCTGATCAAATTGGCGAACGTCAACAGCACGGTATGAACTTACGAAAAGGATGGAAAAGAGTCAGATTCGAACTAGATCAGTTCCTGAAATAAAGGATGTATATGTTTCAAGTTAGGTTAGAGCGAAGGTTTTCTAATCAAGTTGTAAGTTAAATAAGAGGTATACAAAAGATATCGATAATTATATGCATGCCAAGGCTTCAAACATTTCCTGCTCTCGTGGCCTCAATAGATAATTGAGCCTTATATAGATATTTGTGTTTATACGAAGCAACGAATCAAATCACGTTATGTTGTGTTATAATTCACATTGTCTATCTGGTGTAGGGAATGTGTCGGTGACACTGGAAGGCTGGAAACAAGTGTGTCCTGATTTCCTGGTACGTACTCTGCGAGCTCGATGTGGTCAAACTACACGAACTATTCGCCAGTTTCACTACACGACATGGCCCGATCACGGAGTACCTGCGATTATATCGCCCATTATCGAACTTGTACGTCTCGTGCGGGACTGCCAACCGAGCGAGGCGCTCCCGGTCCTAGTGCATTGCTCGGCTGGCTGCGGCCGGACAGGAACCTTCTGCGCCATCGACTACGTCCACGGCCTCGTCCGTTACGGCAAACTAAACAGCAATTTGAGCCTATTCAAAATCATTCAAGAAATGCGCCAACAGCGTGTAGCTATGGTTTGTATTACGTGCCTACGCCGCTCCAGGATGGGTTTAATAAATGCTATTTGCTATATACACGACTACTTGTTTCTGCTTTGACTTTGCGGTGTCTAATGAAAACATGTTGAAAGAAATTTTAAAAACCAGTAGAACAAATTGATTCTATCAGTAGCGAGTGAATCAAACTGGATCGGTACGTTTGCTGTGTTTCTACCTTTCAGGTTCAAACGCGCGATCAGTACGTTTTGGTTCATAAGGTTGTCGGCGCCTTATTTGAGCAACAGCTCAAACTTCTTGATTCACACATCTATCAGAACATTGATACGCTACTACAGAGTCGTGGAAGCAGTACAGCTGAATCACCTGGTCGCCTAGAACGCAGCAAGTCTATGGGATCTCTGGAAGGAAGACTCGTCGGAAAAGCTACCGTCATTCGAAGAGCACAACAGCCGAACGGACAGCAGGCGTCGAGTGGAAGACTGTTTGGAGCTACCCTCATTCCTAAGGGACATGAACGTGTTGAGCGGGCCGCTCCTACTGATATGAACAACCAAGGTCATGATAATAATGCAAACCACCAAATGCACATACAGCCGAGCATGGAGGATGAACTGATGAAAACCCGGCGAACATCTTCGGGCACATTGTGGACCCAGGTCTGAGGTTGCGAGGAGTTTGTCTAACGCACATCTTCACCTGAATTCCCGAAATGCTTTGGTGAAAAGACGATTTAATCACATTAGTGTCGCTAATTTCAAAGACTTATCAAGTCAACATGTTCCAATACAGACGGTCATACATACGTGAAGACCTTCTGTATCCATAACGACGCTATTAATTCGTTCCATTTACATTTAATACACACTGTCACTTCTCTTTTTCGTAAGTGGTTGATTAGACTAACTACCAACATAATCCGTTGAGGAAACGCGCGCTAACCTAATTTACCTTCAATGCGCCCCCCACTCGCTAAGCATCAATGTTTTACTACGAATTGCTCAAATACCATCTCTGAATACGGTGGTTTGTAAAATCGAGCATCTGTTACCGCCGTCTACTCACGTATGGCTGATACTGTTAAGTCCAAAAGTATTTGCTTATTAGATTACTGGATCATTTTTCATTAGTACTGCGTCTTTATGCCTCAGGGCACTAATCAGTTAATCATTTACAATATCACAACGCACCCGTTAACTTACTCACTCAGAGAGAAGACAAGAATCCTAACATCTTTTACTATGCATAACCACTAACATCACTATTCAGTGTATCGAGCATATATGTATGTACTATATGAATCTATTATGCGTCAGTGATTAATCGACCCCAGACGAAGAAAGGCACTCCCACTCGCAACCTCGATCCTGAATCGGCTACGTTTCATCGCCAAATGAATGATGTTGAGCTCCCTCTGTCTTGTTAGTGCATTAGTGACGCGGCGTATAGTTCAATAATATCAAAAACATTGAACACAGATGAATAATACTCGAGTCACTTAACTGTGACAACGTGATAATGGCCAAACGTTCTGTCCTAGCTTTTATCTGTTAATTCAGTGAACAATCCATTTCGCTTCAATGCACTAGCTTCTTTACCTCATACTACATATTGGCAAATCATTGTTGTTTAATCTATCACGGAGGTGTTGCGGCCATCTTCTTAATGCTGGCCGTTCTAGAGCGATAGGAATAACTAAGCCAAATTGTTATGTGCACAAACCAGGAAACGTTGCCGTCGACGACGCTATCCGTCTATCCATCCGAACTGGACAGAATCTCTATACCCTTCGCCATAGACGTGACATGTGAGGATCCCTATAATTATGTAGGATGGTACCTTTTATCGTAGATCATGCGAGACATACAAAAGGAGAAGGCGAAGGTACTTTTCTGCGAACGAACATGGCTGGTTACAATGAAGAGCCGCCGCCGTACAGTCTGACTTCACTGCGACTTTTTTCAAAAATAGCGGGCAACTGTCAACAAGCTCACTGGACAGTGTCTGTGTCGGCCACGTGTTTTTCTAGCGTTTCATCTTTTACCTGTTTCTAGAATTTACTATTCTGTAAGACAAGCTTTTTATTACTCATGCCCATCCTTATACCTCGGTTAAATCGAGGACATCACTTCAATTGCTATATTAGAATAATCGCCGTAATAATCGCGCACGTACTTTGAAAAGAGCACATCCTTTCTGCTCGCTTGCTATGTTAAACAAGTCCGTTGTAGCAAGACTTGAATTGATATAGTAGCCGGTAATGCATAGGACTGACCGGATCAAAACGATTTTATATAGGAACAAGTTTATCAGTATAGAATTACGGAAATGTCTATATTATTATAATGCTGACTTAAGCGAACACTTAGTCATTGAGGTATATAACGCGAAATGCGGTAGCTAACATAAATTTCACATATATATATATATATATATATATATATATATATATATATATAGGGCATACGGGCGTTATTGTCAACATGACCGACACGTATAGTGCATTTATTCTCGATACCTTGTAAAAATGATAAAAATGAATATATAGTAATACCTAAATTACTTTGATATCTGTGACAAAATATAAAATGCGCGAAATTAATGAAAATCATTCAGCCTATGTGGCGTGTCCGAGTGGTCAGAGAATGTAGCGGTAGATAAATAGCTGTTATCGATTAAACATGTTTGTACAGTAAGAACTTTAGCTGGCTGGTTGGCTATTGAAAAACGAAAAGCTTACTTATCGAAAGAATCATTGTTATATCCGAGTACGAAGTATTAGATCATTATTATTATTGCACGAATGAGTGAGGGGAAATTATGTGAGGGTATACAATACCATAACTACCTCCGTGAAGGAAGAGGAGCGTTTATAACAAACACAGACAATAGCGCGTTTATAGAAAAACAAAGTCGATATATGAAATGCGTATTCGAATTCTGTTAGTACACGACACTGTACTTGCTTTAGCACAAATATCTGAAGCAAACAAACTTTATATATGGCCTATGCTGTCTTCTGTAGAAGCACGCTAGCATCTAATCATTTATTATAGATGTAATTAATGAATGTATTTATACACATTCCTCTTTTGCCTGTCTGGTATTATCCCACCATTGCTATCATGTTATAAATTCAAGTAGTGGTTTGTGACTCCGACAGAGACCAATACACTCAGCTTCAAGCAGAAGGGTACTTTGCAAAGGTTAAAATGGATGCAGGGACAAGCGAAACCCGAGCGACTAAGAATGGTATGGTACCATCTGTAGTCCCATGTAATGCTCCTGACCGCCAACTTTTGCGTGGTTGACTCGGGTAATCAGAGTACTTACGTTCAACGGTGATTGTCACATGCCAACACCAAACGTTGCTATGCCAGCAACGTTTCAACAGGTTGATCTTAATTTATTTTGTACATACAATGTATAACCTAAGTTAATATATAAATTTTTTTCAGAACAAAGATGTCTTTTCAATTAGGTATCCTTTATGTCGTCAAAGCTAGGTCTAAACTTGGTATCCGTTTCGATGGTACGACGTAGATCAAAGTGTTGTTCATTGAGTAGAATTAAATGTGGTTTAAAAACGGTTCTGTTTTAGTAAGTTCGGCTTGCATTAAAAGTAAAAATATTCATCATAAGTCGCTGAGCAACAGTATCGGTCTAACTAAAGAGAATACATGTGATACAACGATAACAAAATATAAACTTTTATTTCCCATACGCACAACTGTCGACTATGGTACGAAGTTGTTATCATAATGTTTAGTGTCGTCAAAAACATTCCTTGTTCGATTTTTTATTTCTTGTGTATATAAAATATAAGAGAACATTGCAAAAAATATCTAGACCCTGCCCTGCAGAACAGTGCTTCGATACACCTGTGTGTCCCCTTTTTTCATTTTTGCGATCCTTTTGTAGTCAAAACCACATACGAAATCGCGCATCACCAGTTTACCCCTGTCGACAGTGGGCTACTCGGTTTTGCCTCCTATTAGATAGGTAGAATAATAGTTACATCATTACTATTGTAGCAGCAAATAACTACCTGCGCCTTGTTTTTTTTGGTTAGTTCAGGTTACCCTGACCTATACCTCTCCTTATGCCTTATAGAAATTATTATCGCCATAAAAATTATTTTTTGCCACTTAGTTGTTGCTCTTTCAAATCTTTGCGAGTACACTTATCTTAACCGATGACCTTGCCTCGCCAAGTTGGTGGACCCGTATTCAGTATTATATATAAATCCTTAATGTGTGTATATATATATATATATATATATGCCGTCCCTGTCACCTACAAGTCAGTTGAACCCTGCTGGGTTGTTCCAGTGCCCCCCTCTATGCGTGCGGGTGTCATCAGAAGGACTTTATCGTGGGCTTCGAGGAGGTAAGCTGCTTCATCGCTAAGGTTCCGCACTAGCTCATCTGTTACCGACACCCGAATACCTCCCGGTCCCTTCAGGAAAAGTAAATCGCATGGAACACACATGGCCGACGAGATCGCAGACTTGAGCTGATACGCTGTGGCCTTTTCAAGGAACACGGGCACAAACGGTTCGTCCAAAGTATTGCCCATGTAGAGCGTGAGTGCAGGTCGAATCGCTTTCGCGTGCAACAGATTATATAATCGGATGCCTTCGGCCACCCCGCAGATGGTAATCAAATCATTCTTGTTTAGTCGTAGCAGGTCCGCCCCCGAAAAGCTGCCTAATTGTTGTAATGCGTTCGAGAAGCGGTTGCTGCGAAGCCAATCGGCTGTCTCTTGAGGAGACGCGTCACTTGTGAGTAGGGCTGTCTCGTCCGAGTCGGAACCCGTAATGCTTGTCGAGGGCGAAATGCTAACACGCTGAGAAATACCGAGAGGTGTTATCGGTGCGGTAATTTGAGGTTCGGGAGGACTCGGCGGATAGGTGGGTGTCATAGCAGCTGATCCACCATTTCCTGTACTGCCAGGGCCCCCTCCACCACTAGAGCTGGCGCCGCCACCACCCCCACCCCCGCTTCCACTGCCGCCTGATGTACTGCTAACACTGCCAGGGCCAGCTGATGGCATCTTGGTCGGTGTCTCGGCTGGGCTCTGTTGTGAATATGCCGCTTGCTGGGTGCATTCGGTAAAAAAAGTGCAATCGAAGCTGGGCTGATAGAGCTCCTGCTCAGCAATGGGTCGTTTCGACATCTTTTCTCGGTCGGTCTTGTGCTTTCGATCGGCACCTTTAGGCTTGAATACTTTGACCTGGCACGAAGCGCTGTGCAACTTCCCCTGTATCAAATTGCCGCCGTCTGTCGAATAAGTTTCAACAACGAGTCGGAAAGGTACTCCTTTCTCTCCACCATGCTTTTTTGGAGTGAATTCAGTACTGATACAGTTGAGACGCACGAAGACGCCCGTCTCCTTCGTCGGATCCCAAACAAACTCGAAAGCGTTGATAAGCTTCGAATAGCTGACAACGTCAAACACCCCATAACTGAGCGGGATGTCGACGTCAAGAACTCTCTCCTGTGGATGCTGTATAGCCCATTGTTCCATCTGTTCCTTCTCCATGTATTGCAATCGTCGCTCCTGAAAGCCCACTCGGACAACGCTTTTCAGCAGTTTACCCTGCATCTCCGTGAGGTCACCGAGCTTCTTGAGTTTAATTTCGTACGACTGGCCTTGATTAAGATAGGTCATCGTACGTTCGTTCACTTTCGTCGCTATGGATGTCGCCGCTCCTAGAACGCATTGAAACATTGGCTGACAGCCTGAAATTGGTCCAGAACCAAGGCATGCTGGTGCGCCTGAAGGAGACACAGGGGCACCGGGCAGTGTGGACTGCAGTAACAAAATGCCTGTATCATTTGCGCAGTGACGCAGATCAGGTGCGGAACTCGAATGCTTCTGATTGCTGCTACAGCTTGATGACGCACTCGATGCTACATTCTGGTTGGGATCATTACAGAAACGTTTAATGGTCGTTGGGGCTGCTTCTTCTTCAGCTTGTAACGGGCGGTTTTTTTTTATTCTACTCTGTGCTGCTTGGGCAGCAGCCTGCGCCTGTGCTACAGCTTGATGAGCGTGCACCGCCTGTGGGTGACCACCTGTAACCGATTCATCTACGTTGGACATAGCGAATTTCCAACCGTGAATTGGCACAAAGCACCACAAGCGCCGGAGGGAAGCAACAAAGACGGCACAAAGTTAGTACACACAGGCGAACATAAAGGCAACAAATACAGAAAAATTGCCCAAAATATAACGTATATTATTCACTACTACTGTTCTGATGTTCTGTCGGGTTAAATATATTCTATATATTACATATATTAGTATCAGACCGCGGAAGAAATAATGTAACGATCAGGTCAAAGACCAGGTAAGGTTATCAAGGAAGACCTGCTATATCCATATAAAAAAAATGCTAGCAAAAACAAAGCAGAAGCGCTAGTATCAGCGTTGGACCGTAAATGAGAAGTTTAAGCAACTTACATTTATGATTGCATACATATTACTGCATTACTGACAATTACACAGTTGTTATACAAAGGCAGGGTGTGAACAAGTCCGAAAGAAGTGATTGCAGCCAATTGTAATACCTTTAATTGACGGCAGAGCGAGTAATGTCTCGCTCATATTAAATGAAGCGGTTCCAAGCTCGATGCCGAGGCCCGATAGAGAGCCATCAAAATCTGCTGCTAACGCATCGTCGATGTCGTCCATATGCCAGGCGTTATGTCCTAGAGTCGCCATAGTGTGGTGCACAGGTAAATTTGTTACTGTTGCAGTTCTCAATACCGAGACGCTTCGCCTGTCTTCGCTCGTCGATAACACACACTCAGGGCTCCCTAAAGATTTTCTTTTTACCCCAAGCTTATCCTATCAAACTTGAGAGCTTCGATCCCTTCCCGAGGACGCTTGGGCCCGTTGCTATAGAACGATAGAACATTTAGTACTCGCCGGATCTCTGTGGAATGGCACATTTCAAATAAAATGCAAAATAAAGTGCTTAGTCATAACCAAATTAAACAAATTGGAGGCATGATCTATTGAACTGGCATAAACTGTCATATAAGGTTTCATTTTCGACTGCCAGACGGGAAACTAAATGCTGATTCAACACGTGGGTGCTTAACATTAAATTTATCTAGTTTATTACTATACGTTCTGTTGCTAAATCTTTGCGATGTTCAGACTGTTTTCTTTGCCAAATTGAATTTTCTGAAGAACAAATTTCACTGGGAACTAAGCCACGCAGAACACGTAGAGGAATAACAGAGTGCTTAGCGACTGTACTCGCAAACACGACAGGTCTGTTGCCTGATTGCCTGAGACGTGCACGATTGAACCTTAGATGTGAGCCCTGGCACGGACGCAATTTGCTAGGCTTTTCATTTATAAAGATCTCATGCCTGGTCGTGCTATATAGCGGATTATTGTTTAGTGAATTACTGAATTACCACGCTCAAGGTTCGACTCTACCAGACCAAGAGACGAGCTCCACAACGACGGAAACGATCACATAAATCGTCGAAAGAACTATCTAATGGTAAAATTTTATGCTTCCAAAACACGGTGAGAATTCCTAACACAAGACATTCCTATATAAATATGGACACCTCTATATGCAGTTCCATTGCGCTGCTAGTGAATGTCTCGCGTAATTTATGGATACAGGCTTTCTGCATAAAATCAATAAGGTTCTGAATTTTTTATTAAATTAAATGTAGCAAAAAAAAGCATAGTAATGTATGCAAGGGTGCTTCCTACGCAGTATAATTACGAAACTTCACGAGGAAACTCCGATTTCAAAGATAAAAATTATTATTTTTAAAATTGTATATTTTCAACTTAATTAAAATATATTTATGTATATTTAATATATACTTGTACATATTAATGTATTTAGATATATAAATTGAAAATGCAATAATATACACATCATTGAAAAACTATGTACGATCAAAAATTATTTCCATTTAATATAGGTTTGCAGATTTCAAAATAAGCTGAAATAAGCGTTATTACCACCGAGTCATTGATGTACTGGCGCCGGGTACCGGATACCCAAACTAATATAAATAGCCAATTTTATTAGCTACACAGAATCTTACAATCAAACACCAATAGCATAATTCTGCAGTGAACGTTCGTTTCGTATTGAAGTTCTATTGTCAGCGAATACCTATCGTCCTCTGAAGAGAAGGAAAATTTCAGACAAAAGTTATGACGTTAATTATAGTGAAAATCGCTATAATCATCTGGCCGATAGATCTATTTTTAGGTCGTCGCGCTATTACTCCTTTTTGCTTGTATCAGTTTTCATTCTATTGCTGTCTTTATGCCAATGACGCGAGTCTTTACTCCTTCAAGGTACGAATTACAACAAGTCATTAGTTAGCAAAGGTAAGGGTTTTTGTTCCGGCCATTGCTGCTGCTACTGCTTGCAGCCATCTTAAGGTCAAATCCACGGTCTGTTTCTCGTTGCCCACACTCACCCCAATTAGCCGCCTAGTAGCATCTTGGTCAGCCGTATATCACAAACTCAATGGACATTGCGATAATTCCGTCACATTAAACTGCAAACCTTTTTTCCTCTTGTCTCTGTATCTATTTCATTTTTGTTCTATTTTCTTTTTAAAGTTTCATTTACTTTGGCTAGTCATCGCCATTTTAGCGTTGTTGCGGTGCGCCGCCCTGTTCTCTTTTTTCTAGCAATCTCAAACTGATTAGATAATGAATGATGAAGCCAAATGTCGACAAACGCTGAATGAAGGGCCACCGTTACCCAGTGCTGCTATAGTCGTTGCAAGCTGTCATCCATTTTGCGGTGTAAACGAGAGTGCGCGCTCGCGAACAACTCTCGGACATCATCTACGGCTCGAATGCAACTGGCTCGGCAAACTGATGTCGAATAAACGGTAATGTCTATGCGAACGAACAACCGGCTATGTAATACATACGACGTATGGGCGGACAAATGGACAAACAGACAGACTAGCATAAAGGGCTTAAAAGCGGTAATGCTTTCATTTTTTGTTGATTGACTGTTGGTCGACGAACGTCAGGAGCTCATTTCCGAGAGCTGTTGCGGCGACGTTGCCTGTCACGTTTGTGGTGAACTGATGCACCGCGTGCATGCGCCGCAGCATACATGTTGGCGCCTTTTTTAAAATACACTACGGTAATTTACCTCATTCACATATTTGCAAGTTCAAGACCGCGGTGATTTCCGCATACACATAGCTTCCAGATTATCTCTAGCCGGCTTTCTCAGCAACGTAGTTTCCAGTTTGAGACTTTTTTCCTGAATTTCCCGAAATATTTCTTGAATAAGCCATACGATCCGCGACGTACATTGACGACGTAGGAACACACTATTAAAAAGTGGCCCGTGTGCATCGCTTGGCGTTTTTTTTTATTCAAATTATACCGGTCAAACAACTGAAACTAATTAGCTGTTATAATGACTCTGAAAACTTTTAAGTGTCGCTTTATAATGTTATTCGTGAATATTAACGGTAGACAAAGGTACACGAATGTTTATCAAATTATCGTTTCTGACGGAATGAAAAAATACGGCTCTTTTGTGACCCCTAGGGAACACATCGTCACACAATATCTGTAGAGTAAGGGAACTACAATATTGATATAATGACTTAACTCTTTTTTTTTTAATCAAAAAGCACATTGTATGGTATTGTCAAATATAGTTTCAATCAGTATAGTAATAAAATTTTTTTAATATATATATATATATATATATATATATACAAAGTGTTGCAAAGATAGTTTGATGAATCCAAAGATATCAAGGAAATAAAAAGTCAAAAAGTAGAATGTTTTACCGGATTAGATCACAAAAAATCCGATACTAAATTTTTCTCGATTTATTATTTAAGCAAGTCCAAATGTGTTTGAGTGTATGATGTCCTATTGTTTCCTAATGAATCGACGCAGATATAAAAACCTTCGTATATTATTACTTTCAGTGATTTGGCCGCAAGTACAAAAGTAAGGCTATGTTTCAAAAAGCAGCTACCTTTGGAGACAGTAGTCTGTTTTGGGAATCGCAATCGAACAAAAGGTTCCTTTCTTATTAAAAAAAGTTAAAATGCGAATTGTTCACTTTTTTCAAGGTGATAGTTCCTATTAGTAAATAATTTCTGCTCCTCCAAATCTACAGACCTATTTTCGTGTAATCCTCTCCTCTTTGTAAGACAGAAGGTGCCTGTTATCTCTTTAGTGCCCACTGGCAACACGACCGTGAATTGAAATTATTTTTTCATATTTTTTAATAATAGTTTCGACATAACGGGGAACCTTCAAATTGATCTCGGAGTCAAAACTTAGAATACTCTTTCATATATCACTATAACCGATGTGCTTTTTACATGATTTAGCTCTTTAGATGTATATTTCAAAAATCTTTCAGGTTGTCAAATAAAGGCGAGCGGTTAGATTTCGAAGTAAAACTGAATAGTAATCATCACGAGGTGACGTATGTGATATGGAAAACGTATGCGGCAAATATCATTATGACATTTACTTCTCTTTTTCCCGTAGAGGCGGAAAGTTCAACCTATTGTGTCATTAGGATAACCGTTTAGTAAATCCCCCAATTAATATAAGTACCGTTATTATGTTGCAGGGTATTTTCTGATGCCTACAATCCGGACGTATGCCGTCATTCGACATCAGTGAATAAGGTTATATTAAAGATACCGTGGTAGGTGTGACTTCGTCGGCAGTCCATACACTGATGTCGCCTCTCAAGGGGTATTATCCAAGAGATCTTTCTAAACTCAAAAAAGAAGCATTGGTAGGGAATAATATCATTGCAACTACTGATTAGCAATGCCATTGCGTGCTAATAAATGTCTACTGTATACTTATCGAAATTTAGAGAGCCAAAGATATTTTCGTCAGATAACAATAATAATAAATAAAATACATAAAAATGTACAACAATTTGGGCACTATTTTTTATTAAACAATCTAATAAAGCTCAGTTTACTTATGTAATAACAGACTTCCTTAAAAAATAACCGCAATAGTATTCGCCTTATACAATTAATTTTTAATAGCTTTTTGACCCAAACACTTAAACTATAATGTACATTAATTTTAATTAGCAACATAACAGTGGACTATTCGGCCCGTTGTTAATACTATGCCATGTATTCAACTTTAAACGCTCCTTAAAAAGAGCCTAGGCCCTATTACGAACGCTCTATAGCTGGTCAGAAGTCGCATATACTCCCAGCATTTTAATAATACAGCAGAGGTATCGAACCCTGGTCCTCTTCAAGGGTTCGTTGTCCTTAATGGAAGTTCTATGAACCTAAAAGCACATAATCTGAGCATACGTGTAAAACAAATATTTTACAAGTCAAAGATAAAACTCGACAGACAGATCTGGTTAACTTGTAATACTTTCAGTCAGGTTATCTTCTGGGTTTTGACCTAAAATAAAAGGATTATTCCGTCATTTCTCAGTAAATTAATATGTTATTCAAAATCGATCCCTAATCCACTAATGCTAATTGCAGCGCCCGTCGAATTATATTGTTTGCATTAAGGTTTGTCAGTCGCATTTCGCAGTTACTTATATTTTAATTCAATCCATAAAGATAAGTTCAGAGAAAGCATGACTTCGCAAAAGGAAAGACAATTTAAGGCATTTGGCGTACTATATTGCTTTATACGGATGTGTTTGCATAATTTCTAATTTTTTTTCGCTTTTCCTTTCACTATTAATCCCTCTACAATAAATCTTTTTAAAGTTTTGCGTCGTAAATGTAAGAAGGAATGGTCATTAAAATAAATTTTATCGAAATTAATTTATTTCTAATTCGCCTATTTAAAATTAGAAAAAAAAAATCGAAAAACCTTGGTGCAAATATTCATGCTGATTTAGTTGCTGTAAGTTATTTATACAATTAAATGGCCATTCTCGGAACAGAGAATCTTCAGACATTTTAAACAACGCTCTGCTTGTTAAGGTCGTGTGTAAATATAAAGCTGTTTTTTGAAGTTATTTGCAGTGCAGGAGCACAGAAAGCGAAAACAATGAAACATTTTTTAAAAGGTTAAAATCTTATAGTGCAACTTTTTTATTGCTATTATTGTATCATGTTTTAGAGGTTATATTCGTCCGGATAATTTTGCCCCTGTATATAAAAATAAACTTCTATTTGTTTGTAACTAAAAGATCTGTTTAGTATTTCTAACATAGAATCTACTTGTTTTGCTAACGTATTGACTTACTGAACAAAATCAGTAAAAAAAAATGGTTGGAGAACTTCGGACAGAAAAATAACTTTAGCCACATGATACGAATACCCGTATCTACGCTTATTTTGCAATAAACCTGCTAGAAACACAAATTGGGAACACACACGTTTAGTTACGCTTTTCATTTTTTTTAAGAGTTAAAACCTCTCAACGCTGATATTCCCTCAGTAAAAAATAATCCCGATGGCCAGTTCAGAGAAGAGACTGGATAGTTTTGTGGAAAATTTAAATTTTACCAGCTTTTATGTTTTTTTTTTACCAGCTTACACGTATTTGTGGTTTGCTCTAATGCAGTCTTAGTAATATGGTATAAAGATGCATATTGTATATTAGACCATGAGAACATTTTTAATAAAACTGAGATCTCCCGAAACAGCTTAACTTGCGAAAAAACTCAGCACAAACACTCAAGGGAATAAATTGGAACATGTTGTTTAGTTTAACTCTACAAATTGACTGCACTCTGTAATGAACTACTCGAAGAGATTTCAACCAATATAAGTGCAACAATGTAAGATGAGTTTGTTCGCAGGTTAACGTTAGCAGTGTAAATTTTTTTTAAGTTAGTCTTTCAATGGTAAATATTATTAGGTTGCACAATAATGTACAAATCTGCTTTGCTATAGTCAGGCATAATTAAACCATGTCTACTTCTCTCGAGCATACTTATATTATCCTTGAATAACCACTAGATTCTACGAAAAACGCTATGTATGTTGCATTATATAAAAAATGCTGTTACTTTTCTCATACTAAAGGATATGCGATTTCATAGTTTCGCATTTCTAATTATTCTGATATTAGTAAAAAATAATGTTTAGATTACATTTGGCGGTAGTAAAAAGACAAAAAATTACTTTTTTTAGTCGTTTTCGTTTTTTTTAGACTATTCTCAGAGATCGAACAAAAGTGGATATGATTTCTTAACCTATGTCTTAGACTCCACAAATAGCTGATCCATCAACAATCATGCAAGACCTGCACTAGTGCTCCTAGTTATCACAATGTGACGATGCGCTCCTTTATCGACTTATTAAGACACGACTTTATACCAACGTCACAAAAATATTCGCCTGGAGCGACGATAAGGATTACCTGCCGTAGACACGCAGAAAAAAGTAGAAGAGCATCCAATAAAAAAAACGTTTATCTACACTTGTGCATTTTGAATACATAATCTAAAAGATTAATACATTTGATCAGGTTTTGTCATCCATTTGTCTAATTGATTGGTTCGTGTGAGCGATTAAAAGCCTACAGTAAAACCTACTAATAATAACAAACACTAATAACAATCACCAAACAAATCAACATATAGCTTACCTAGAACAACGCACTTAATCATGCATAGCTATACAAAAGAAAAGTCTGTTTGATTTTAACGATTTTATTCAACAATTCTGTTGTATGCGATATTTATCTGGAGTACTGTACACTTAAGACACAAACTGATAAGTGATTGTAAAATAGAACGACTTTCGAATTTTCGCCTCATCATCTCGGGATTCGAACCCCTTCTCCGGCTAGAGCGATAGATGACCAATGACGACACTGACGAGGGCTAATTTAATCACGAAAAAAAATATAGTTTTTCATAAAATTGAAAACATACACATTTTTTATAAATAAAATTTTCATAAAATTAAAAACAGAAGATTTACTATATACTAGCGTTTTAACGATACAAGTATTTATTAAATAAAGTAATTTGGAAAATGATAATATGACAAGGATTAAATTAAACGACTCCACTATTCGCACAATGCGTCTATAATGTCGAGTATGATGAGACGAACGGATTTACAAAACGAAACCTTTGTTTGTCAGATATTCAGATTTTACCCAAAATAATTTCGGCAGCGCAGACGAATGTACTCTGCCAATTGAGAGTCAAAGCACGTAACGGTCAATAGTGACCAGTAAACTGTCAGCGTTGTCTGTCAGGGGTCAATGCAACGTCGAAAGTTGACTACGTCCGTTTCAATGCGGATCCAAGATGGCTCTAATGTATCAAAATAAATCCTGAACTCCCGTTTATATATACACACGCTCTTCATATTATATCATATTGCACAATGTTTCCACATTCGTCGTGAAATGATCTATGCTAAATTTTAATCTTTTCATTTTTTAGAGTCTTATTATCATTCTGTTAGTCATCTCTGTTTGTATAAAGGGATGATCTATTCCTTCGTAAGCGTTTTACCAAAAAAGTCGGAAACAAACGACAAAAATAATTTTTTTCTAAATAAATTAAAAAAAAGATTTTCCGGCGGGAAAAGGTTCGATTAAGTCGAAAGAGGGCACTAAATATCTTACAAGACTGTTTACAGTTAATAATATAAAATGTGGAGTGCCTAGCCTAATTTTTCTATAGACCGAGTAGTCATAACAGTCAAGGATTTGAAGTCAAGTTCGAAACTGACTTACGTCGGAGAGCACCGGCCCATATCTATGGTTGTCAATTACAGGCGGAAGAAAGCGATGAATCAAACAGTTGGGCTAAACAAATAGGACATACAGCTATTCTAACACACAGAAACGACTGATGACCACGTTTTTCCTGATCTTAATCTAACTATGTTGCTTAACACAAACACTGTACTTGTATGTTGAGTAGCTATTTATTTACGGAACTTGTTCACTTAATATATATATATATATATATATATATATATATATATATTATCATCATAGTCATCAAGTCAAAGCCGCATGATAGTGGTGAATGATTGGATCAAAAATGTCATTTCATCATAACATTTTACGTTGAGTTCTCCACATACACAGCTTTATGCCTTAGACTCAAAGGTGTGCGCACTGTGCCCATCTATACATGCCCACATGAACATGTATAGATAATTTCGACTAGAACCGTAATGATAATCTTGTGTGCATGACACAATTATCGTATTACGAGTAATGACATCCAGTCATTTCTCATTATCATAATTACTTATTTGAATAATGCCATGATACCCTCATTTCATTTCGACAAAATGAAATCCTGTTTTAAAGCATCTACAAGCGATCCGACTGTTATATTGCTTTGTTCTCTCTGCACGATCAATATTACTAATTGGCTGGGTAAAAGCATTCCATTAAGCCATCTACCCATGCCGAGCATCATCTATGATAGCATGGACTGAAAGGATCTAAAACAGGTTTATAGCTTCATCAAAAAACTGCTCAACTGACCATTGGTGGTGCTTTACAGTAGCTAATAGAGCTATCAGAGAACTCGCCGGTTCATCAGATCTGCTATCCTAACCTATCCTATTCAGCGCTACTATTGTTCGGCAATTACTGACCACGCATACGGGCTCACATATATGATACCGATTGCCTAGTGTCATAGCTATTTAACTCAGCGCAGAGCCCAAAAGCGAACAAGAGCATCGTCACCACCGTCAACATCGTAATCACGGCCTTATTATTAGCAGCCCGTAGGATGCTACAAGTAGGGAAAAATCTTACATGCGCGGCAGTACAAATCGGATCGGTTCGAGTTAAAGCCTGCTTCTCAAATCCAGTACGTAAAATGAGATCGTTGCTTCTAATCACTCTGGTCAGTATTACTAACCTCGCTACTGTAGTACTAATATGGGCGTAGATTTCATGTGAATCACGCGAGTCTGCGATATAATACCACGATGGCTGGTAGTAATAGTAAGACCGATAATAATCGCGAGGGCAGCAACAACAACAACAACAACTAGCCTACCAGCCCCGTTTCTGCGCTTACCGCAACTTGTAATAAGAATACATCGACTACGACTACCCACTTGATTCGTCGGCTGCTGGTTGCAAAGAATGGGCAGGAGTCCATGTCGAAATGTGGCCACACGGGACGCGGGGCGAGCCAAGGGATTGGAGTAAGACGGACGACAACAAACTACCAATACGCGACGGTCAAGCGAAGATGTTCCATGGAAGAGGACATCGAAAGAGGAAATCGCACTCGTTTCTGCTACTGCTATCCATTCACAAAGAAGAGTCCACGGCCTTGAAGCAAGCGACAAGAACCCCGCTACCGCTGCTGAAAGCACCGAGCTCGGATGAGAAGCAGCAGTCAGAGCGGGGGTGGTCAGCACCATATTCCACTGACGGTGGACGACGGCAACGGCCACAACCATAGGACTCCTCTGCTCGCAGACATAACTCTAATAGGACACAAACGGAAATAAAACTAGCAATAACACAATAATAATAAACGAGGCGCTCAAATCACAGGACAATGCTTGTCGCCACTCACTCAGAAACGCACAACAACACTTGTGTACACTTTTACTTCACCGCCACAACAATGCGAAGGGATGCTCTCTTCCTTTTGTTATGTAGACAGTGCATTAGTAACAGGCACGGACAGGACATTAGCTCTTGGCGAGCGACTGGTTAAAAACATGGCGCTCTTGATTAGGGCGGCAAGAGACAACCTTTTCAACGCATGATGTTGTTTCCATTTCAAAAGTTAAAAAATCATGCTTTTTCAGGCAGATCTTGGTATTCAGCTGGAACGCTAGATAATACATGAGTTCTCGTAGAACGCATCTATTTGAGCTATTTAGGTGACAATAAACTTGTCAAAGAAAAAGGGAGTTTCATTGCCTGTTTCAGCAGTCTCAGAAAGCTACGATTTTATTGATAGTTTACCCAACTTTTATTTTCTTCTATTGATAGTGCATGTCAATTATATGCGCTCATTTACGCGTCACAATTTTCATTTGTAAATACCGGTGCGATGTTGTTTTTAATCGTGAAGACTAATAAAGAGATCGCTACTGTCGGTTTACATCTAACCAAATTGATATTTACTTTACGGAAAAGCAAGCCCTTTCCTTGTCATGAAAAATATTTAATCAACAGGCTGCATATTCCATGCACACCTTTTCGTGAGGGAACCTTAACAAAGCACCTACAAAAATTAGGCCCATGTTCTGAAGGGTCGTTTTAGGTCGGGCAAACTCGCGGATCTGCATTCTTAGTACTACAAATGTAAATACACCAACAGTGAATGAGTAATTGAGCATATGGATCAGATTTAGTCCAACGATTAGTCCACAAATCGGCTAACTTAGCTCAACACTCTCGTTGAATCCTCGTTAAATCCTATTGTTGTTTAAATACAGTAACTACTATTGATCACAGCAATATTGGTAAATTGTTGTCGTTCCATCAGCCATATGCACGGTAAAGATCCGTGGCCAACTCTTTCGACGCCATAAGATACGTCACAGCAATTTTCTAGGAAAGGACCCTATTTAATGCGCTTTCTTGTCCTGTTCTAGTTCGTACAATACGACCGTCACCGCTGCCTCTAATCTCCATGAACGTGGGCAGCAACTATCACTCTTGAGTCAACCAAATGTCTGTCGTTCTTAGTCAGCATCAGCTCGAACGATGGCATTATTCGATTTGACTTGGACACGCGCAGCCAGGGGGCGCTTTTGTCACTCCTGTTGGACATGTAAATAGTGACGAAGAGAGACGTCGCAGGGAAATTCGCCACACTTTGGGCAGTGGAGTGGCCGCGACGAGACCACTGACATTGACTGACTGACTGACTGACTGACAGACAGTGACTTCCAGACTATTGCTACAGCTGCTGCTGCTGCTGCTATTGGTGTTAACCGCGACTTCTTCGCTGTTGTCGTTACCGCCGCTCCCGCCGCCGCACCCTTCGCCGCCGTTGTTGTTGTAGTATTTCTCCTGTTACCGCTGCTGTTGCGCCTCTCTTTGAGCTGCCTGCCTCTCTGCAGGTTATTTTGCGCCTGGAGCAGTGGCGTGCGGTTGTACAGCTAGGGCGACGTCGACTGTGGGAACTACTGCGGTTATCTCGACGACTTCTAGTAGTACCTTTGGTTTTACTTAGCGCGCTCAGTCCGTCGTAACCGTCATTTGGTTTTTCTTCTAATCACCAGCCACAATCGCCGTCGTCGTCGTAATAATCGATCAAAGAGGACCCAATTCAATGGTGTGATTAGGCAGAGAGGAAGAGATTCGTCGTCGTTGGGAAAAATCGTTCGCTCCGTATCGGTCGTGCGGTGGCGCCGTGTGTGCTAGAGGCGTGGAAGGTTTCTCTATTTGTACGTGTGACTATTCCGTGCGTGGTCTTAATCTCTATTTTTCCCTAGTGATTATTGTTGCCCCCTATTTTCTTCGGAGATCTATCACGTGTGTGTATTCCCGGCAAGACCTCGCACCCCGATTGATCGTGTCGAAGGCGCAAAAAAACAACAGCGACGCAAGTGAATCTGTGCTCGTTTGTGTGCTACACTCGACCCGCAAAACTTGCAAAATGAATCGTCACAGTTTGATCCTTTCTGATGAACAACGGGAGGACCTGGTATCAGCGATCCCTTCGGTATGTAGCGCTAAATCCAATTCAAAAAGGTCTGCCTATCTGATTGTGTTTATGTCGTCAAGTGTTACGATGATCTATCGAAAGTTTCGAACACGTAAGGAAAGAGTGTTTGAGGAGCTAATGTAGCTAGTCACGTATAGAGACAGCTATTTTCAACTCAGACTGGATCCAGTTTGGTGAAGACTTACGACTGTCTTTAGGCTCACTGAACTGGATTCAAACGTTTTAAGTTAAGGCTAGATTTCATGTAGAAAAGATGTTCCCAATGAAGCAAACTTCAGTTGATCAGTGTGTGAACAGTCGAAACCGCAGCTGAGCTTTTCCATTCACATTCTTTTTTTAATACGTCTACTATGTAGTTAAGTCAGTATATTATATTAATTTGAATGTTATCGACTAACATGTTTAGTCTCAACGGTTAAAGACCGCGTTTACCGCGGGAAATGGTTAAAATTGTGTGGCCTAGCGGTCAAAATACACCAGTTGTGCGCGCGGTGCGGCTTGATTTGTGCCCATCGGGGCGAGTCAGGTGCGTCAGCCGACAACACCGCGGCATCCGCACTGACGTAACAGATAAACAGGACACTGGCTAGACACAGAGACAGTCACGGATCGGATAGCCACAGCCGTAATAGTAGAAGGCAACTAACGTTGGCACTGGCATTGGTAACCATTGTCGCGACTCGACGGCAGCAGACGGCGGTGGAAACCAACAGAGCTTCAGCAGATACAGGCAAACAGAAGTGAAGTCCGTCTGTTCCTCTCAGCCTGTTTGTGGGTCTGCTTGCGGACGACAATCGCTTGCCTATCTGCCTGCTTGATAGCTAGGTATTCTACACAGATTATGGAGACGTTGCGGCCATTTTTATTTTTTCTCGACTATAGGGACGACGCAAGATCCAATATAACGGCATAACTAGAAGTAGCAACAATGGGAGGTAGACCAAAGACGACTGCGACGACAACACTCTGTCTAAAAATTCGCTACAATATGTCTAATCAGAGCTGTATTCAACTAAAAACTTCACAATATATTCGGCCTTTCGGACGGCCGTCTGTGCGCGTGCGGTCTCACACTAGCTTAAGCTCGGACACGCTGTTCTTGAAGCCAAAGCGTTCTGCTGACACTCTATTTGTTGATAGCAAGGAAGTTTTCCCAAAAAGTTTACTGCTCCGTTCGAGCATGGTAACCTAACTTAACCATAGGAAATGTCGATCGAAAGCAAATGATGATGGTGGTGGTGGTAGAAGTGCGACAAACAAAATATCCTTATGGGCTTAATTTTATCGCGAACCACGTCGATGTGTGTCTATAGAGATGTAAATCTTTGTTCGTAAATTAAACAGCTGCCGCTTAGAAGATGAACTTGAATATAAGTCAGGTGATATGACGAACCGTAGTTTCCAACATCTATAATAATAAATGGAACGAACTTGGTTTCGGTCCCTATATGCCCATTACTTGCTCTAAAAAGCAGAAAACCTAGCTGCCTTAATTTTTTTTTGCCAATAGTCTAAGTAATCACCGTGCGGACATGCCTAATCGTCTTATAGAGCCTATATTTCTTTAGTCATCGTAAGTGCAAGTTGATCCTATTCATAATGTGTAATCTGCAGTAGTCTCGTAGTCCAATACATATGATTAAGTATATATATATATATATATATATATATATATATATATATATATATATATGGAGTATGAAAACAACTCTCTGGTTTTGTTTTTGATTATTTTTCATGTTGTTTTGCGAGAGTCTTTTAATGTTTTTGTTCGATGCGTATGAGTAACTATTATGTAGTTGTTGGCGTATGTCGTATCAAAATGTGCAACCACGTATTGAGTGGTTAGATCTGTTAAATGGTTGGACTCGTTGTCTGGGTATGTCCACAACTGACATTTGATTCTGGGCCTTCTAACACTTGCTTTCGTCTCTCTTTCCTTCTCGACTGCGCCAGCGGTAACGGATAGAATAGCGACGTCGAACGGAGATCCAGCATCGGTGGAGAGCCTTTTCGAGCTGTGCTTTCACTGTCGTCGCGACCGGCGCCACTCTCGAGTACTATTTGCTAAAGCTGTTCTCTTGACTCTGGCCGTGGAGCTATAGCAACCGATCTTGTATAGATAGCTAACGTCTAGCTGGCTGTTTATTTGTGAGTGTGTGCAGCGTGTTGTTTTGGCTACCTACAGAAGAGGTCAATTGCTACTGTGTCGCCATCACTACTCGTCGTTGTCGTCGTTCACGATGTTTTTGCTGTTGCAATGGCGCTAGTGGTTGTGCCTTTGCCCGTCATGCTGGCAGTGATGGGCATCCGCTCATCGGGGTCCGCCGCCCAGATACACGTATGTCCGTTCGAAGGGCCTTCCTCGGGAATGCTTCGAGCTACTCGATGGTTTTCATGGGCACCATAGCAGCAGTGCTAGCACAGGCTGCACCATCAGCGGCCGGTGTTGTTGGGGTGTTCGGCTTCTGGCGCTTGGCCGACGACTTGCTGGGGTCGCTTTGCACTACCACGCCGTCAACATCGATAGCACTGGCAGCGAAGGCGACCAACAACACTTTAAACGAAAAGTTAGTCTCGCTCCTCTGATTTACTTCTCTACATCTGTATGTCCTTTTTTTGCTTCTCTTGTGTCGTTATCGGCTCTTTGTCTGGCTTACTAAGCAGTATCTGGAGCATAAACACAGACGAGCTGCTCAAACCTGCGTATGCACACAAGTCATTGGCAGAACATCCCGTACCACACCGGAATTGCCAAGACTGTCAAGGGGGGTTCTTGTGGTTAACAGTAATGTAATCTAATATCATAGCGATGAAAGTGTGCGCGCCAGTGCCGGTTTTAAATCGCAATAGAGGAAACATCTAAATGCCCGATAACTTTTATCATCAATCGTTTAATATCAGTGTTTACCATATGCGTACTGTGTGCTTAGCGTTCGGAGTGTTTCCAAGCTAGTTAAAACGATAGTTCTACAAAGCGTATCGCAAGGTCTAAAACTGCCTACATATCCATACTGCTTTTACCAAACATTAGTTATATCATCCATTTTGAAACATAACGTTTCTAAGAAAAGAAAGATATTTTGTTTCAGCAAGACCACATTGAGGTTCGCGAACAAGCAGTTGAAATTTCTATTCCATCAAACAATGCGAAATACTTCAATATGTGACTGAAAAGGTGCTCACCCTGTTATGCTTTATTTACTCACCATTATTGTTGTGGCTTGTAAGTTATTTCATGTATTCATCAAATGATTGCGGCTATTATTAAGAACAAATCAAACTGTTGATGACTGGCTTGACAGCTGTACATGGTGCCCCCTACTTTGTCATTGCATCGCTTGCCTTATGGTACTCGAGAACTTCGCGCAGTTCGCAATTCTCGATATGCAAAGGTATCGCGCCCCAGACAATATCAACATAATCTCGACATAGATACGAGCGCATTTCATTGAGTGGTTGACCAGCATTGTGACAGAGAACATGTTGTTTTTGTGTTAATCCAGAGCGTTGTGGCAACAGCGGCTGCCACCGTTAGCCATCTGAATCACGTGTCTCACTTCGAAGTTGCCGTTGTATCGCTTCTAGTCGTTCTTTTTTTCTTTATATACGCAGTGTTATTACCCTGGTTTGGCCTTCAATGTTGTGGTTTTTTCATTGACCGGGGTTGTAAAAAGAAAGTGTGGGATAACAAAAACTATCGCTGTTTAATCTTTGTGCCGAGTATTGTTTCAGTTTTTTCATAGCTTCAGTTTCCAGAGCGCATGTCTATCTTGTTCTAGTCTTGTATCCGCGAAGTTTAACAACAGGCTATTAGCGTTTTCCTGCTAAAGCAATGGTTCGCTTGTCCGTCGATTGTTCCAGTCCTGCAATGTTACTCTGAACTGCTACGACTGAGCTAAAATCAAAGTAAAGCCGGATGTTGCTACCGCTATCGGATCAAAGTTAGATCGGCCCGGGCAATTCTTGCCGCGTATCTATTTTTGCACTATGAACATTACTTGTATCGGCTCGTGCAGTGCTGCTTCTTCGCTTACTGTCTTCTACACTGTTTCTTCGCACGTTAATTTACGCACATTTAATTCCAGTAGATGCAAGTAAGGGCAACGCGGTAGCAATTCGGCTTAGTCGTTGAAAACACCTAAGAACTGTAACATTTCGCAGATTTATAGGGAAATAGAAATCACATTTTTGTTAGCCATTAGAACGTACATATATTACAGTCGAACGTTATACAAACGTACGAAACAACTACCCACGTAATATCAAATATAAATTTCGCGTGTTTGTGTTCACCTTATTTGTGTGCATGTGTGAAATTTTCAAGCGTCTGTTCGTAAAATTGCTAGGCCCAGCCATTGCATCTGACGTAAATCGGTTTCTGTTAGCGTTCTGATACGACTATCAGCGGTAACGGCAGTAATTGAAGTGAAAACGTATCTTTGATTTTGTTGCGGTTGTTTTACTTCAGCATGGAGACAATGCTTAGCTTTTGAGGGCAAACAGATTTTTTCTCAATAGGAAACACTGCCAAACAAAGCAACAAACCTTGCTCACGTATGCGAAGTACGATACATCAATTGGTGATTAGGAGCAGCTAGTTCCTCTCAGACATCCGTACAAATATTAATATTGCTAGTTTCTTTTTAATGAGCTCTCACGTGAAGTAGCAGCGACCGTGCTGTTTTTTGTAGGCGGGACCGTTTGCTATTATATCCAACTGGATTGATCAGTGTGAAGCCAGTGTCGCATTCATGTGTCGGAGATCTGACCCTATTAACACGAGACGCTAACAGTACGATTGCTGGCGTTGATGAACGGTATACGATGTCTAGCCAAACATGATATGCGCTTTTCTTGCTTCGACATCGTTCCTGTTGTAAAGAACTAACCGTGGCTAGTGATTTCGGGATAGAATTTCGGGGATAGCTTTCGGAGATAGTCAGCAGTAGTCAAGCGGTGGGAAGTCTGCTTGCAACGCACACATAGGACTTGAT